TGAACCTCGGTGGTAAGGGAGATGATGACACGGGTTACTTCGCCTATGTGATGGCTACCCCAATTTGTGTGCTGCCATTCGACCCGGAGGAATGGGAATTGCCTGGCAGAGAGCCCACTCCACTGAGTCTCTGGCAATGTACAGTATGAATGGGATATAAGCAGGCACACCGAGCCCAATCATCGGCCCAGACTGTACAAAATAGATGGAAGCGAGACTCGCAGCTGGCGGAGGAGGACCTGATGGAGATCCCTTGGTCCACCTACGCACACATAATGCCAACCTCGCACCCGGACTGGATTTCTACTCACTCTAAGGTGGAACAAGCGGGCCTTTTGTCCCCCTATCTGCTCCTACTGTGGTCACTCGTCCTCGCAACGTAGGAGAGCCAACCTGCAACACTGCCTGTTGGCATGTCCTATGGATCTCCAGGAATGGCAATGGTGGGACGCGCTCTGGAGCAATCTGAGCGGCTCCCCATTCCAGTGGGAGGTTGGTTTTGTTCTGTTCGATAAGCATCGAAATGTCCCGAGGACTTGGTCAGTCTTCCAATAAAATCTATTTAAACACCCATGATTGCCTGTTCTTATGGCCATCTGGAAGATGAGATGCTCCACCGAATATAAAGGGCACCCGTTTGGATTCTGTCGCACCAAGACGGAAATAGTGGAATCAATAAGAGCCAACATTATTTTGAACATAGTCAAAGCTAACAAGGTGCTCAACGAAGAGCTAAAGACACTTCCAGAACTGAGAGAGAGGCAGCTGGCCATTGCCACTTTCAGGAAGGCCTGGCTTGACCCTCACCGCAAATCGGCTGACGTTAGGGATGATGGGTCACTGGTATGGAAAAATTGGCTGGCTCAGGAAAGACAAGGGCGCCTTAGACCAGCGGACTGCTTCGTTACACCACTTCCGGGAAAGAATACTGGCGCAATGAAAGAGAACAGACTCGACTACTGCCAACACCACCACGAGGTGGCACCCCCGTTATCAGACTGTAGCCAGCCACCTCCTCCCACTTCCCCTCCCCCGTCAACCCCGGACCCACCGCCCCCACTTCCTTCACACCCACCTCCGCTAACCCCGCCACCACCACCACCCCTCCTCCCATGATCCCCTTCGCCATGGACCCCCCCGCCCCCAATGCTATCCCCAACCCACTCTCAAGAACCCCCCCTCCCGTCTGCTCTCCCGTCTCCTACCCCATCCCCACCTCCACCCCTCCCAATGGGCCCCGGGCCTCTTACTCCTCCACCACCCTCTCTGCCTATGCCTTCAACTCCCTTCAACCCCGCATCACTTCTAGACCTGCTACCGCTGGCCAGCCGGTCTGATGAAGCCGCATTTTAGAAACGAAGAGCGACAACAGCTGAACCAGCAGGGGATACAAGTGACTTCAGCAACGCCACAACGGGAGATAAAGGACCAAAGACTCTGCAATGCCTTCTCCATGAAGCAACCAACACCGCTCAACAGGGACTTCACGGCAAGGTTGGACGGATGGGGTCTCGTCCTCCTCAGTACAGGGGCCGAGGGTACATCCCCTCTGAGGCCAAGAGAGGAATCTGGGGCCAGTGTGGAATGGGGCCTCAAAAGGGATAGATCACAAGTAGTGACAGATAGTCAGTCCTTCTGCCATGAGTGAGCGAGAGATGTTATGAAACACAACTTTGTATTAATTGGGACTATGTGACGCCCAACCTCACGCCCAACGCGACTTCAACAGAAAAAAAAAACAAAATTTCCAAATCTATAATAATTAACTTTTTTCAGCTTACAATGAGTTGTTCATATGGAGCACACACCATATTCTAACTTTCTTTGCATTAAGACACCTTCACCGATAAACACACATTCGTTGAATGTTGGTTCAATACAACAACGTTAACTATATTAGAGAAACATTCTCCGAACAACTTAACCAGCATTCCTCTAATATTGGAAATGCCATTTATCAACTGTATATTCCACTTAGCTTTTAATGTTTTCAGGTTATGCTAGAATGTTGGGATGATTGTTACAAACATGACGTAACGTTCGAGCAACATTTCGTTGACCTTCTAAAAACAAATTAACATTTCGATATCATTTAACTTTTCATATGCAAAGAAATACTACTTAGTCGGTTCCATAATATAAATAAAACACGTACTTTCTTTATTTATGGATGTGAGGGAAGAAGGTGATAATAGTACATACAACTATGACGCTCAACTCTATCACAATAAATAGAAGCCTAAGTACACTTCGGAGGTCCTAGCAAATGAAACACTGCAAGCATTACTCATATCATTACAATCATAAATAAGTTCATAGGCACTTGTTGGTCTTAGATATTACTCCATACAATATTCAACCGAATTGCAAGACGAAGAAAAGGACTTATGCACGTACCATCTTAACATACACAGTACCGAAATACAAAAAAAAAAATAAAGCACAATTATTATATTCTTTCAAGTTCAACTATTTGAGGGAGAACGCGTTTGGGTCAGAGTTACGTATGTGGTGGTAATATCAATTTGAAACAATATGAATCAACAATCAAATTATATGTTGTGAGTTTCCATTACCATTTTTAAGTGTCAATATTAAACATGATGATCCTAGTAAGCATAAATTGGATAAATGATATACTTTTTATCTGTGTATCTTTTGAACGGAGAACGGGCGGAATTCAACGCCCGAACCTCCGTTTAACGGGCCCCTGGACCCCCGTTGAATCGCGTTTAACGCAAAAACGGGGGCGTTGTGTCGAATTCCGAAAAACGAAATTCACGCTTTGGGCCTCGGACACGTGTGCCTACGCGCCCGAACACTAAAACCAGAAAAAAATAAATAAAAATCACCCCCCGTTAACTTCCCCCCCAAACACCCCTAAAGGATCGAAAAACCCCTATCTGACCCCGAGCAAACCCCCTGGCCCCCTCCCCCTAACCTACACATTCCCAACACGACCCCCAACCCCCACTACACCTTACTGCCCTCAGTGCCCTCACACCCACCCCTGAACAACGGGCACTACCCCTACACCCCCACTACCCGGCGACCCCCCTACGCCCCCAATACCCCCGCCACCCCTACCCGGCCACCAGCCCACGAACCCCACCCTCGCCCCTCCCCCCCCCCCCCCCCCCCCCCCCCCCCCCCCCCCCCCCCCCCCCCCCCCCCCCCCCCCCCCCCCCCCCCCCACCACAAAACCCCCCGCCCTGTGCACCCCCCGAAACATCAGTTAGTATTCCATTCAATGCAAATAGAATCAACAAATAAGATAGAAAAAAAAAAAAACAAGCACCGAACTCTCGAAGTCATAAATAAATTAAAAGAAAAAAATGCAAGAAATGAAATTGAAAAGGAGAACAACAATTAAAGATATAAAATCACACACCGAAAAAAAAAATGGGCACGCAACGTGTATCACTTGTAACAAAAATGTAATGTACATGAAAAGTCATGAACGATGCGAAGTACCTGACAGGCTGACACTAATATCACACATGCAAAATGTAACATGATACAATGTATCCTACTGCTAATGCACTGGCACCACATATCGAAAAAAATACAAGAAACAGTAGTCTATAAGTTGTATCGTAGCTGCCGAGATACTGTACAGTCTATACTCAGTCTGCTGCAACCTACGGCACTCTACGAACACCCTACTGGCACCAAAATCATACTCTACGAACACCCTACTGCTACCAAAATCATACACACCAACAAGTAAAGCACGCACACTACCACTGATTGTCTGACAATACTGAGACAAGACGAGACGACTCAGACGACCAAAAAAACTAGGACCACACAACATGACTACGTACAGTGCGAGTAGGGGAGAAGTGGAGTGTTGGCCTCATCGGTCAACGACCCTTCTTCCCCTTCCCGCTCTGTCTCCTCATACCCCCTCGACTGCCGGATGTCGACCTCTTCCTCCCTCGTGAGGATGAAGGAGTGCGCGCAGCGGAGCGTCTAGATGCACGCGTCGGTGGAGGTCGTGGGGGAGGTGGGGGCTCATCGTAGTGGTCGTCGTCATCACCATCGGAACCGCTCCTGCTCTCCTCCTCTCCCCCCTCCTCGCCCTCATAGTCCTGGTCCGCCTCCCGCACAGCCGCATTCGTATTAGGATCATCCTTGTCGATGGTGACTGGGCCTCCTCCGTTCCTCAACACAACAACCTTCGCACTAGCCTCTGCAATGTTTGCTCACAGCGGTATCCACGAGGCATCCCCAACCCCTCTGCCCCCGAACTCTCTCCAAGTGCAGCGCCTCCCTCTGCAGGCACGGGGCATGGACGAGGAGGCACTCCACGCTTGTGTGGAGTCTGCTCCTGCACGGCACGCGTCGCTGCTCTCAGAGCGTACTCCAAGGTCTCGGTGGACACTCCTCTGCCGCGATCTCGCTGAGGCTCACAACCTGATGCCGGTACCTCCCTCGCCGCGGTCGTCCTGGCGCCTCCTCCTCCCAAGCCCGGATGAAGGCGTGTAGTGTGCTCCGTGACACGGCGGGTGGAATCCAAATCTATGTCCGTCCTCCCGAATATCGTCGTGTCACACACATCCTGCTGAACTGCTGTCGTATCACGAATTCTACATCTCCCAGGCGTGTGTGGGGATCGAGAGCCTCTGCCTGTGGGTGACGATGATGGATCACCTACAGGTGCTCTGGGAGGAGGGGGTGGCATGTCTCCTGTGCGTGGCGCTGTCTCCGTCACACCACCCGAAATCCCTGGAACATGTCCCACGGTATGTCCTCCGGTGGAGGTAGACCCAGACCACACGGGCGAAGCAGGACCCCATGGAACCGAAGGGATCATCTGCCATGCTGGATGCTCGAGCCTCCGGTCGAAGATCCGCCGCTCCAATCGAGTAACATCGCACACAGCCTCTCTCGCTAACTCCTATGCATCCAAAGGACGACGGACCTCCTGCAGAGCAAAGTGGTTAGGAAGACGTGGGGGCACAACCACCGGCTCGGACCCCAAATCCGTGATGGCGGGAGGTGGCACACCATGCACTGCCATCTGAACCACCTGCGACTGTCAGCCCATGGCCAAGTGCAGGCCCGAGAACGGAACGACTGGACTCGTCGGTGTCTCCTGGACCTCGCGTCGTGCGTCTATATCCCCCTCGACTCGCCGTTGTCCTGCCTGCACAGCCTCATCCACCACCTGAGGCCGTCCCTCCACAGCAACGTCCGCTGCCTCTGCTACACCCGGCATAGCCTCGGGGACCGGCTCTGCTGCCACTCCCTCCGCAACGTCCTCCCCCGCCACCACCCCACCCTGCACACAATCCCCCCCTATCTCTAGACGCTTGGCCTCCTCTACGGCCCGTGCGAGTGACTGAGCACGCGGGTCACTCGATGCCAAAAGTCGAGCCCTCTCTCGCTCCATGATGTCGCGTGCTGCATCTGGAGACTCAGTCGTCGTCSTCTCTCTCGCGGTCTGCGTCGAAGTCTGTCCTGGCGCATCGTCCCTCGATGGAGCCCGGTCCGTCGATGTCGCCCCGCCGCAACTAGGTGGAAGGCCCATCGACAAATCTAAGTCTAAGTGGGTCCCCATCTCCAAATCCGAAATCCTAAACCCCCTCGCCACACCCGAGGTCATACCCTCTATGACCGGATCGAGCTCCTCCGTGAGGAACTGCTGCATGAGGTGCTCGTCATCGCCCCCACGCTGCACCTTGGCCTGTGCGGCTATCTCCTCCTCCACTGGTCCTGGCACCTCCCCCTCCACTGCAGCTGCCGACGGTGCCTCCTTCTCCTCCACTGCTGCTGCTCCTCCACCTGCTCCTCCTGCTGCTGCCACCTTCCCCTCCACTGCTGCACCTCCTCTTGCCGCTGGTGGATCCTCCTCCAGCACTGATGCTGCTATCTCCTCCAGCACTGCTGCTGCTGCTGTTGCTGCTATCTCCTCCACCGCGGCTAAGATCGTCGCGTCCGGCACCACCGCTGGTGCCACTGAACTCTCCACTGCTGCTGCCGGCGGTGCCCCCTCCTCCTGCAATATCCCCGGGGAAGGTGATCGTAACCTCAGCTGGCGGACTGCCCCGCCTCTGTGGAGAAGTCCGCTCTGAGGCAAAGACGACCCCAACTCCGCCCTGTTCGTCATTGCCGTGGCCGGATGAAGTGGCGAGACGGGCGATGGTGGTGCAGGACTCGGAGCAGGAGGTGGCGGCATGGACGACACCCGCCTCGTCGGAGTGGGGGTCATCGCCTGCGCCTCTGGGCCGCCCGTGGAAGCGACCTCACCGAATGGGCCCCAAAACTCCTCCTCTCCCCCTCTGCATCTCCCTCTCCGCCCGGTCCGCCGCCCGTCGTGCAGTGTGTGCCCTCGTCTCCGCGGAGTCGGGATCCTCGTGCGTCTCGTCGATCTCGCGGGGAATGCGGAGCGCAGGGTCATCTGCCGCGTCGGGTACCGGCTCCTCGTCCGAGCCGTCCTCCCAGGGGTAGGGACGAAAAATGCAAGCACGTCTATCGAAAACGACATCAGCAGAGGGTGGTGCGGACGCCCCGATGGGATCCCGGGTAATAAGTACAACTTGACGGACAATCTCCTCCTCCATCATGCCCCTGCGAGTCCCCGAGCACACAGGCTCCAACTTGAGTCCTGCCTGGCAATCCAGCATGCCCTCGTCCCGCTGCCATGGCAGCACATAACCGCATCCAGCCCGCCGATACTCACTCAACCGCACATTTGCGGTGATCTCAACGAGTTGAACGACCTTCTCGAAGGCCAACTGGTTGCGCTTCTTCGTGTGATCGCCCTCGTGGACTGCCCAGTTCCTCTCCGCTGGAGAGGCGCAAGACCACATGTGCATCACCCGAAGAGCACAACGCTGCAACTCTGGCGCGCCCGACCCGAACTGAGACCACCAAGACGCGCACTCAATCGTCTCGCTGTCGCCACTGCACGTGCACCCACGAGCACTCCCCTCCGGCCCGCCCCAATCCCCGAACCTGCCCTGCTGAATGTGGAAGTCCTCAAACTGCCGACATGCAAGGATGTACTCCGCACCCTCCAGCTCGAATCCCGTATGCGTCAGCATGTACCTCTTGGGTTGCCCCACAAGCCAAGCATCGTACCGATCTACCTGGCCCGAAAAGTAGCGAACGTGTCGCGTGCGGGGGTTCAGTAAGAACCCTGCGCAGTGAGCTGGCTCAAGCATGTGCTGTGTGCGAGCCTGCACACGCTTGATGATCCGGTTGGCGAACGACTTTCCCAAAGGGGCGCATGCGTCCGTAACACAGCGGACAAGATCCTGCGTCCACTCGATCATGAGGGACATGTCCTGTCCTCCACGATCCATCCGCCTAAGCAACTCCATGACGGGCTGCATGATATGGACGATGGTGGCCACCCTCTGCCACCATGGATCCCATCTGATCTGTCGGCGCACCCAACGCGTCATGACGCACACATCGGCGTACCACGGGATGGAAGCAAAAGCCCACGCATCATCCCCTCGCATCATGTCCTGCAGAGTGTCCTGCAGGGCCAATAGCCTCTCTAGCATGGAGTAAACAGACGTGAACCTCGTCTCACAAGAAAGAATAAGCCCCTTGTCAGGGTTGTGCGTCCTAAAAAAATGAAGGGCGGCTTGGTGGGTTTTGAAAAACACCACCAGCACACGAGCGCGTGTGATCGCGTCCACAAACACGTCGCAACTCGTCCCCATGTCTGACAACAATTTGTTGCAGACATGGATGGAGCACAGGAGCCAAGTGATCCTTCTCAGTGCAGGAGGCATGGACGGCGAGGCCAATGCTCTTGCAACCCCCACATAGGCAGAAGCGGAGTCAGTGCATATCGCATTGATCTGCTGCGGCCCACGGAAGCTGAACTCGTGGAAGATGGTAACCCATTTCCAAAGGACATGCACTACATCGTCCGCCTCGCCCTCTCGATTGATCGTCGTGTACACGACGACCCCTCGCGAGCCAGCGGCAAGGAAATTCACGATCGGTGTCCCGTCTCGTGATTTCCTCCCATCGGAGAGGAGGGTGACACTTGTCACCCAGAATGGCTGCCTCACCTCCTCCAACTCCTCCGTCAACTCCGCACGGTGGGTCTCCACCGCCCGCATACTCGCAATCTCGCTGTGGTTGGGGAGCACAGCGCGCGGGGAACTGCCAGGCTGCTCAAGAAGCACCTGTTGATATGCCTTCCAAGCCTGGTTGCGGAAGGCATTGAAGGAGACCCCGTTGGAATACAGTCAGCGAAGGAATGCCTTCTTGTGGCGAGCAACCCACTCGCCACCGTAGACATCAGTCACCTTCTGTTGGCGAAGCTTCTTTCCTGTTGGGGTGGCAGCTGGATCACTTCCTCCTTCCTTCCTCTAGGAAGACCCCTCCGTTGCAGCTCCCTTGCCTGCTCGCCTCCACCAGTCCTCCAACCTCTCCCCAGTGCCTGGATAAAACTCTGGCACGTCCTCCCGTTCCGGGACTCCCTCCTCGCCCGGGCCACTCGCCTCGCGATCGACGTGGATCACGCCCTCCTCCGTCTCACCGCCTCCACCACCCAAAGTGGGGTCTGGCGCATCATGCCCACCATCTCCCCCGACCCCTCCCTCCACCTGATGCCGCCCCGCCTCTCCTCCCCTTGCACCACCCGTGCCGGGCACATCGAGTTCGCGCTCAGCTGCATACCTGGACACCCTCTCCATTTGATCGGCCTCGAACTTCTGTTGACTCCGTCGAGCGATCTCGTACAACGCCTCGTCGCTGACGTCCTTGCAGTAGTTTATCTGCGAGAAGTGCCTCGTGGCCTGAAATTAGGTCCCTTGAAAAACTTTGTTGCAAAACGTGCAACGGAGCATTATTACCCCCTTGTTGTCGACCTTCAGGCCGACAACCAGGTACCGATAGACAGGGGAGCGAGACCTGAATGTGTCCTGTACATGGTCCGCGGAAGCCTCATGCTGACGGCGCTGTGCCCTCCCCATGTCGACCACCCTGGCGAGGCAACCCTCGCTGACTCCCCCCGACCGCACCGCTGCAACCCAACACCTGTTAACCGCTGCCCGCCACAGGGTCCCCCGTCCCCCAGCCCCCCCCTGCAATCCAAACCTCCTTAACCGCCTCCCACGTTTGGGTCCCCCGTCTATCACCCCCCACCGTCTCCCCCGCTCGCGTGAACCCGTGCGCAGCCGGCCGAACCACCAGAAAGTTGCAGAAACGCACCGCGGGCCCGCGCGTTAAACTGCGTTTAATGCCGTTCAAACACGTTAAAACGCGTTAAATCATGTTTAACGCCGTTGAATTAACAATTCAACGGCGTCATTCAGGACCGCACGTGCCGGTTCCCAGTCATTGCCGCACACACTCCTCCGC